TGCGACGCGGGTTTTGATCAAGTCGCTTCCTTACGTTTCGAACCATTTCTGTTGATGTCTTCTTCCGTCCACTTCCTTGACGTCGGGCTACGCTACCAGTATCACGGTAACGAGCGGAGTGCTCTAACGATAGCCACTTGTGGTTTTCCAGTCAAATATAAAGAAATCACACTATCACGCTTGAATTCCATCACGAACAACTTTTTTTCTGGAAAATTCTCACCAAAATGCTTTTGTACTCTTGCAAACAATATAATGAGCTGTCACTGTAATAATTTTAACAGCTGTCGGACGAGTGGCTTAGAAATGACAGCAGTCTGAAGTTGGTTGCAGTTTCTTTTATCTCACCCTGTATTATAAATTGAACCCGAATTCATTGCAATACAATGAATTTATGACAATTTCTGTTATTATCCCCACAATTTACAGCCGTAATTTAATAATAGATTTATGTTACCGAACCTAAAACTCCCAGTAGAATTTCCTAATGAAACCGCAACTCATTTTATCTGTTGTGGCCCTAATTAAGTGATCCATTTATTCATTTGTCTGCAGTTTACAACACTTCGTTCATCAAAAATAAATTGTTCATAGATCTCCCCCGGGGTCTTTGAATGACCAGCAGAGGTTATACTAGGCCTCACCGCCATTGGTGACCGACAATTTGACAACGTTCTAAATACCAATCCAGCGGAGAATTTACTCTGACATCCGTTTGTGTTTTGCGGCTTTGCACTGCAAAATTACAACTAAAATTTAATTGAATTGAATTAAATTTAACTCGTTTGTCACAGTTTTTGTTTTTCTGTTGTTGTTGTCTTCTTTTTTGAATGGAATTCATCAACACCGGATCGACACAGCCAGCCAGTCAGCCAACCATCATTTGTCTCCCCAGTGGCCTGTCCATTGTGGGTTTTAGTGTAAAATTGTTTGTTTTGATTTACAAACAACAACAAAACAAAACGCACCATTTCGAGTGTCCCCCAAAATCATGAATTGATTCACTCCATTTGTGGGATTCGTGGCATGGGAGAAGTTTAAGGTTAACACGACTCTAGTCTGGCCGGTGGCACTTTTGTCTACGGCTTGGGAAGTTTAGTCTAGACTTGCGAAAAAATGTGTGTAATTTAATGGAGACACTGAAACGGCATGGCGACATGCTATCATGTTCTCCATAACAAAGAAAATAATAAAAAAACGAACGAATAAAGTTTGTTTCCCAGGGAAACGTTAACAGGGTGTTTGGTCTTTGGGGTTGGAGGTCACAATGGTTGAGTGAGGGTGCAACAACGCAAAGTACTTTTTAGAAAATTGATTATGAACTTGAAATATATAGCAGGGCCTATTTTTATTTTAATGTGTGTGCAATGGGTGGAATATTTATAAAAACGTACTTGAACACACAATGTCCTTAAGTGCTGTCCGCTAAGAGAGAGGGACAATTTATTATTCTACCATGTGTTATATTTGTTTCTCTTTTGTGGGGTTGTAATCGATGGCTTTGGGTTAATTATGGATTATTTAAAGAATAATGTATGGATTGATATCCTTCTCCTATTTTTGCAATATGCAATTTGATTTTTTTTGGGTTTTTCTCGGAAAATCATCTTTAAAATACAGACTTTTAAAATATTTTGGAAAAGTGGTCCTGTTTTGTCAAAATTACAACTTTTTTTGTTACCATATACGACTAATGCAAAAAAAACCCACAAAGTTTGCCATAGAATGTGGAAAGTCCCTATTAAATTCAAGAAATAGTTTTAGGAAAATATTCCAAAAGTATTCTGTGGCCAGGAAGTCCGAAGAAATGTCTAAATTAGCTTAAACAGCGACTAACAAACATTTTTATTTTGTTTCAGAACCTTTATTTTTTAATTTTTTTATACCTTCAACCATACGGCTACAGAGTGTATATATCATTTGATACGGCCAAAACATGACTAATCGAAATAATGGTCTCTTTGGACCAAATCCTTTTCAGAACATTTGGAGTCGATCTAGCAAATGTTCTTCTGTCTGTCTGACTGACTGGCACGATAACTCTCGTAGGGAGTATCCGATTTGGTCTAAACTTCGGTTCACTCCTTCTGGCACCTCCCCCACAAAAGGTCGAAATTTCCAATGAAAATATTTTACTGCACAGAAAGGATCGAATCCGATTTTTCTCCAACTTTACAAACCCTTATATTTGCAGCAGTTCTAGGTCAGGTGCGAAAATGGACATTGTTGGTCCATTCCATCAAGTACCTCCGCCACAAAGGGTCAAAATTTTGAATAACCATAAAGTTAATAAAACGCGAAATTAATATCCGATTCCATTTAGACTTGATACATCTCAATATTTCCATCAACACAAGATCTGTTATAAAAATGGTAGAGATCGGACCATTCCTTCTGCTACCTTCCCCACACAGGGTTCAAAATTAAAAAAAAAAAAAAAAAAAAAAAAAAAAAAAAACGTTCAAAGAAAGCTTAATAAGCACCCAACTCTCTTCAAATTTCGCACATACAAACGTTTTTGCTAACACAAGATCTGTTGTAAAGATGATACAGGGTGAGATAAAAAACTGCAACAAAGTCAAACGCCATAATTTTTACATTTCTTTTAAATTCAGTGAATGAATTTCGCTGCCCGAATGTTGCTCTGCGGTATTTTGGTCCATTCCCGGCGAAGCGCTTGCTCGAGGTGATCGACACTTTTGTATTTTTTAGTGCCAACCTTGCTTTCCAAGATACTCCAGACATAATAGTCTAACGGATTGGTATCCGGAGATTTTGGTGGTCATTCTTGAGTGGCACGTGCTGAGTGCGATGGTCCTTTTGAAATGTCCAAGGTCTGCGGCCAAAATGTTTGCGAGGCTTTAATACACCCTCCAGAATATTTTCACGATAATATTCCGTCTATTAATACGAGCGGAGAGCGACCATCGGCTGTTATGGCGGCCCACACCATCACCATGGTTGGCGCTTGAGTACTGGTGGCCAACCGACCTCTTAGCTGACCTATTTGGCAAGTAAACACGATCGTTTTGTTTGTTTAGAAACTGCTTGACAACGGATGTTTTCTCATCGGAAAAACCCGAACTCGGTAGTTCACCACTTTCGGACAAGCGAATCAACTCTTTAGCTCTTTTAAGTCTATTTTCTTTCAGTTGCGGTGTAAGTTCTTGCGCTTTTTTGGAATTTCAATGGCTTTACCCCGAGCTCATTTTTCAACATTTTCCGAATGGAATACTGCGATATGTTCAGCTCACGAGCCATTTTTCGGCCTCAGCGACGCGGGTTTTGATCAAGTCGCTTCTTTTCTTTTCGAACCATTTCTGCTGATGTTGCTGTTTCTTCCGTCCACTTCCTTGACGTCGGTCTACGCTACCAGTATCACGGTAACAAGCGATGGTACGAGACACAGAAGATTTATTCACATTTAAATGCTGGAGTGCTCTAACGATAGCCACTTTTGGTTTTCCAGCCAAATATAAAGAAATCATACTATCAGGCTTGAATGCCATCACGAATAACTTTTTTCTGGAAAGTTCTCACCAAAATGCTTTTGTACGCTTGTAAACAATGCAATAAGCTGTCACTGGAATGATTTTAACAGCTGTCGGACGAGTGACTTAGAAATGACAGGAGTCTAAAGTTGGTTGCAGTTTTTTTCATCTCACCCTGTATTTTCTTCTAATTGAATGCCAGCTTCTTATTTGAAGGACTGCCACCTAGTTTTGATATTTTGCCGTACTTTTTGCGCAAAAAAAGTTATAAAGTATCAGTCGGTATCGCCGACAGATGTATACCTTCTGCCAATGTTCGATTATTTAAATATATTTTGACTTCTGCAATGATTATTCAAATGTTTGACTCTTGAAGTAAACTCTTGCTCTATTTTGAGCGATTCTGCTCCCAATCGAATTTTTCTAACAGGAATGACTCGGAAGCGCTGTCACACAAAACAAAAGAGTAAAGAGTTGATTAAAGTTTCACTCCCGAGTTAAAATTATCAAATAATTATTGCTCGACGTTCAGTTCCCTAAGAGAATATTATTTCATATATTTTTAAAGAATGGCCAAGGTAAGAATGGCAAGTTCCCACCGTAATTTTTATACCTGTATCAATATTCCTTGCTTTGGGTTGGGTTTCCATCGATTCATCGATTTTGCAATGGAATACTTGTAACGGCAATTTAAAACAATAAAAAAAGAAACCCCAGACACGTGTCTGTTTCACCGTTCCTTATGGCGTTTAAAGTATCTCTCTGTTTAGAGAGAACGAAAGGAGGTGGCATGCGACATCATTTCATACAGTCGTCGGTCATTACGACGGATGATGACTCATAAAATGCCGCAAGGACTTGATTCGATACGATCTAAACCGGCCAACATAATATGCTGTGATTATGTGGCATATTTATGAGAGCGTTCTGCATTTGGAATGAGTCAAAATGCTATTTTGGGAAGGGTAGGTTTGCTTTCCATGTCGAACATTGTTGTGCTGTTACATCCCCCTGCTGGCCTGGGCGAAAGGGGTGTTGCAAAGTTGGGGTATTTCTTTTATCGGACGACATTCACTGCCGTCGTTCTATGCCAGTGGAGTTGTTATCTGTTTCCGCACATCTGTGTGGAGAAATATATGTTGAGCATCTGCGCATGTATTTTTCGGAAAAAGAAAGGAATGCATTTTTATGCCGCCTGCAAAAAATGAAAAACGTTTCAAAACTTCAGTTCGTTGTGGTTAAACTAGTGGTAAGGTCATTGCAGAGTCTTCACAGTTTTTGGGATATTTTATGCAATTTGGTTTGTTTCGTCTATGCTTATCTAACACCAGTGAGAATTGACAGCAAAATTTGGAAACATATTCCCAAATATTAAGATTTTTTAAAATTGCTTTTGGTTTTGTAAAAATTAAAATAATAATCTAATAAAAGTCATTGAGCCTTATTAGGCCTTTTGAATTGTACACCCAGAATTTAAATACTTATTTCCCTTTCCTTTTCTAATTTCAGTTGAATACTTAAAAACATGTCTACCAGTCCGAAGCCAGTTAAAAAAGTTCCCATCCATTTACAGGTAAATTTGATGATAATTTTTTTTTTTTGGAAAAGTATCTACAACTAATTTGTATTTGCCTTTTATAGAGTGCTCAAAACCGGGTTTACATCAAAAATGGCCAAATTGTTAATCACGATAAAACCTTCAAAGCCGATGTCTACATTGAAGATGGCACTATCAAGTAAGTTTTCGTTCGATTGAATTAACTACACTGAATTTGGGTGGCTTAAGCTAGACACAAAAACAAGGGTGTAGCCAGTGGGGTAACTAAGGACCCTCATGAAAAGTAGATTTAAATGAAATATTTTACAAGAAAAACTTTTACATTTTGCGAATACACATATAGTGCGACACGCCACTTTTTCTTGATTGGTAGGCAGATAGTTTACATGGTGGCTATGGATCCTTCATTACATCAATTATTATGTTAAACATAACGGTTTGAACCATTCGGGTAGGGTAGAGATTGTTATTATGATTTTAATGTGTTGGTAATTAAATCAAGCCGGACGAATTAAGAAATCTCAGAAGGTCTCCCAGACCTAGTTCTGTTATCTCAGCATGATGGTAAAGGAATTGCCGTCCAAGAATTTTCAATTTTCGTTGCAGAGCAGGTACTGGGGAGTTTTTCAACATCAGCTGCGACAGTGGTCATAATGGGTAGGAGCTTTGCATGGTTATTAGAAGCCCAGTGACCGTTTAGCACCGCAATTTGTCTTGCCAGGTTTCGTCAGTTTTGGCTAATCAGGAACTTTGTACGTTTAAAGTTGTAACATGATCATGTAGATTTTGATATTTTACAAGTTTCAGTTCCCATCCCATCTGATCTCTGCTTGTTCAAGATATTTTAGTATTTTATTTTATCCCCCAGAAGCGTCGCTTGGCTCTCGATAATGATTCATATTGCGTGTGATGAGAGTTGCTGTAGCTTTGTGGATTTAAATATTTTTGCTTCTCTCGAGTTAGACACCAGAGCCTACTCCATAATTCATCATCTTAAAGTACTCATTCATACATTCGATTACCCCGTAACAACGATGTACCTCGCTAAAGTCGAAATGGGGAGAATTCTCGTTTATGAGAACGTGATAAGACAAAAATATTTACACATTTCCTATGATTTGTGAATTCGGACGTCAGCTTGTTAGTTCCAGAACCAATTCTCGTCTTCAAAGAACTATTTTTCGGGTATACCACCAAAGAGTTTAAAATTTATACATTCGGAGTGGCCCATATCTTGCGATTCCCACCAAACTTCAACTGGCCAAAGACAAGAAAAAAAAAAACAAGTTAAAAATTACCCTTTGTGGGTGAGGTACCAGAAGGGGTTCGCAGATATATATCATCCTCACAACAGATCTTGTGTTAGCAAAAATGTTTATATGTGTGAAATCTGAAAAGACTTGGATGCTTATTTCGCTTTCATTGAGCGTTTAGATTTTCAAAATCTTGAACCCCATGTGGGGTTGGGGAAATGGGCCGATCTCTACCATCTTTAAAACAGATCTTGTGTCGATAGAAATATTGACATGAATATTCAAAATTTTGAAGGAGCAGATCTTGTGTTAGTAGAAACAATGGGATGTGTGAAATATTAAGAGAACCGTATGCTTATTTTATAATCGTTTTGGTTATTCAAAACTTCGACCCTTTGTGGGGGAGAATAGTTCGATCTCTACCATCTTCATAACAAATTTTGTGCTGATAGAAATATTGAGATGTGCCAAGTCTGAATGGAGTTGGTTGTTAATTTCGCGTTTTATGAGCTTCATGTATGCTCAACATTTTAACACTTTTGTGGGGAGTTACCAGAAGGAGTGGCCCAGATATTTCAACTTCACACCAGACCTTGTGTTAATAAAAATATTGTGATGTGTTTAATGTGCATTACATTTTACAAGAGTTATAATTATTTAACATTTTGACCCTTTGGGGGTATATACTTGATGGAGTGGACCGATATTGTCCATTTTTAAACCTGACCTAGCACTGATGCAAATATTAGGTTTTGCAAAGTTGGAGCAAAATCCGATTATCCTTTCTCTTTCTATGCAATAAATTATTTTCTTTAAAAATGTTGATATTTTCTGGGCTTAGGTACCAGATAGAAATGATAGAAAATGATAGAAATTTTAGAATGTATGAAACTTGGACGAAATCGACCACTTACTTCGAGAGTTATCGTGCACACATACATGCATACATTCAGACGGACGAACGAAAAAACCGTTATTTTGATGAGACTCATTTTGGGCTTATCAAATGTTATACTCATGTGACTGAGAGTATAATATCATTTATACAATTAGTGTGGCATTCAGATAGTCCCCTTTGTATCGTGCTGCATTAATACAAGTAAAAAAAACCATTAAGTTCGGCCGGGCTGAACTTTTAATACCCTCCACCATTTGGAAGAAACTTGAAAAAGTCAAATCATTAAAATACCGAATATTGGGAAGTATCGTTATACGGACATTTTTTTGTCATAGGCTGTGGTACTCATAGCAAAATCAAGTACGGAATTTAAAACAATTCCTGTTAATAATGCCTAATGGCAAAATACACAAGTGTGCAAAATTGTAGCCTTCTATCTCAACTCGTTCGAAAGATAGCATGATTACAACATACAGACACACAGACGGACATCGCTAAATCGGTTTAGAATTTCACGATGATTCAGAATATATGTACTTTGTAGGGTTTGAGTATTTCGAGGAGTTACAAACCGAATAACAAAGTTAATATACTCTCCATAGAATGGTGAAGGGTATAAAAATATATTTTTGTAGTTAGATTAAAATTTACCTTTTCGCTCTCCTCTAGGAAATATCGACTGATATCCTGGTTGGAATATTGGCCGTCTGTTCAATTTTAAATATGTCTTTCTAAATTTCAGATTTGTTGGACCACCCTCCGAAATTGTTGTACCTGGCGGTGTGCGCGTCGTAGATGCTTCCGGTCGTTTGATCATACCTGGTGGCATTGATCCACACACCCATTTTCAATTGAAGGTAGGCGGAACGGTGACAGCCGATGATTTCTATCATGGCACCAAGGCAGCTGTGGCTGGCGGTACCACGACCATCAGTGAGCATCAAAATTTAAAAAAAATCTTTCAAATTAAAAATTAACCTTCTCCGTATCTTACAGTCGATTGTGTATTTCCGGAGAGAAGTGAATCCCTCGTCGAGGCCTATGATAATTGGCGAGCGTGGGCTGATCCCAAAGTATGTTGCGACTACGCTTTGCATGTGGGTCTAACATGGTGGTCCAAATCTGTATCTTCGGAAATGAAAATCATGTGCGAAGAACTGGGTGTAAATTCATTTAAATTGTCCATGGCCGATAAGGGTGTTAGTCAACTAAATGATTCAGAGCTCTTGGACGCCCTCGAACGCATACGGTCATTGGGAGCCTTGGCTTTGGTTCATGCCGAAAATGGCGATATTATTGCCAAGAATGTTTCAAAACTTTTAGCATCGGGGGTGGTTGGTCCCGAAGGTCATGAGTTATCACGTCAGGAGGAAGTCGAGGCAGAAGCTGTAAATCGGGCTTGTATTTTGGCTCATCAGGTAAGTGAGAGGTTGTTGTTAATCCAATACAATAGTTTATGATAATAAATGATTCCCGGCAGATGAAAGCTCCGCTGTATGTCACATCGATCACATCCAAGTCATCGGCTGAAATTGTGGGCCGGGCCCGACGCAGCGGTTATTGTGTCTTTGGTGAAACCCTGGCCAGTTCAATTGGTCGTTCCATGCATGGCATTCCCAAACATGAACGCATCTATTACACCACCAGTCCTCCAATTCGTGAATCCCCTGAAACGCCAAGCCAGTTGATGAAATCATTGGCATAGTAAGTATTTTCGATTGTTAAACCAAAATACCTTATTTATTAACATAAATTGTATACCTTTTCCAGTGATGACCTGCAAGTCACCGGCAGTGATAATCGCACCTTCAAGAAAGAGGACAAAACCCGTGGCATGCATGATTTCTCGAAAATCCTTAGCGGTACAAATGGTGTCGAGGATCGCATGTCCATTGTATGGGAAAAGGGCGTACATGCCGGGCTCTTCGATCCCAGCCGTTTTGTGGCCGTCACCAGTACCAATGCTGCCAAAATCTTCAATTTGTATCCGCAGAAGGGACGCATTGCTGTCGGTTCGGATGCCGACGTTGTCATTTGGAATCCCAATGCCACCCGCACAATATCCAAAGATACCCATCACCATCGTGTCGATTTCAATATTTTCGAGGGTATGGTTTGCCATGGTGTACCCGAAATGGTGTTGGTCCGTGGCCGAGTGTCTGTGGAACATGGTTCAGTGCGAGTGGCCGAAGGTTTTGGCCGTTTCTTGAATCCCGAAGTCCGTTCACCATATGTCTACGATGTGTTGGAGGGAAAGGTGAACCTGAACGAAGAACGCAATGGCGAGGATCAACATGCCGATGAACAGCTGAATGGCGATATGAAGAAAATGAATATGACCGCTTTGGAAATTGAAATACCATATCAAGAATCATTGTCACCCTCGCAATGTCTGGCAGCCGGTGGTGGTGGCGGTTCGATCGGTACAAATTCACCATGTGGTCTTGGCCATGTAGCCGGTTCGAGGAATATGCAAGAATCGACATTTTCAATAAGCGGTAAGTGACGACCAGACAAACGTGTTCAAAAATGTAAGGCTTTAACATTCAGGGTGAGATAAAAAACTGTAACAAAGTCAAACGCCATAATTTTTAGATTATTTTTTAATTGTATTGAATGAAAGCAAAAAATTTTGGAAATAGTATCAAATTTTAGAATAAGTTTAGATGTGTTCGAATTGGTCACCTTTGGCACGAATTATGGTCTTCAAAAGACCAATGAAACCGTCACACGCTACCGGAATGTTGCTCAGCGGTATTTTGGCCCATTCCTGGCGAAGCGCTTGCTTGAGGTGATCGACACTTTGGTATTTTCTAGTGTCAACCTTGATTTCCAAAATACTCCAGACGCAATAGTCCAACGGATTGATATCCTGAGATTTTGGTGGCCATTGTGCGCTGGATGCAGATGAAGCGAGGAACCTCATTTTGTAACCATTCTTGGGTGGCGCGTGCTGAGTGCGATGGTGCTGAGTCCTGTTGGAATGTCTAAAGTCTGCGGCCAAAATGTTTGCGTGCCCAAGGCTTTAATACACCCTCCAGAATATTTTCGCGATAATATTCGGCATTTATTCTTATGCAACGGTCGATTAATACAAACGGTATCACGCTAACGAGCGATGGTACGAGACACAAAAGATTTATTCCCATAAATAAATGCTGGAGTGCTCTAACGATAGCCACTTGTGGTTTTCCAGCTAAACATAAAGAAATCGCACCATTGCGCTTGAATTCTATCACGAATAACATTTTTTCTGGAAAATTCACCCCAAAATGCTTTTGTGCGCTTGTAAACAATATAATCAGCTGTCACTGGAATAATTTTAGCAGCTTCGTTAGCCATTTGGTGCACAATAAACCTGAAATCGGTTGAAGATATATATGGAAGCCATATCTAAATTTCGACCGATTATCTCTTATCTCAATAGGGTTCGGGTTAAATAAATTATTTTCACAAAATATCTCGATCGGGCAATAAATGCGATCGGTACTTTGTTTACAAAAATACATGGACAGTCGTAAGAAAGGACATGCATAAATCGACTCAGAATGTGCTTTTAGGCAGATCATCAAAAGGAAATATGTTTCTAGATAAGAAAATCGGATCTAAATTGATCTATGATTCGATGCTGAGTGCTTATTATCTGGAAAACAAGGAAAAAACGTTGAGTTTGGCCGAGCAGAAATTTGTAAGCCCTTCAATGAGTTAAATAATATTTTTTATTAATATCGGCTTTTGATATTCGATCTAATTCTAATTCAAATGCCAGAGAAATTGGTCGGAAAATGAAATTGAAGTTTTCAAAATACCATAAAGTAGGTCGTGTCGTTATAGTCCAGGGAGAAGGGGAGTCTCAATCCAACATGCCCAATATTTATGTATATTATAATTAGATCAGGCTAAATCCATTCTTTTTAATCGCAATCACATTTAAGCCAACAAATATTTATTAATTTTTACTTTTTTTAAATCTTGCAGAGGAATTGGATAAGTCTGGCAATCGTTCATGCATCAAAGTCCGAAATCCTCCAGGTGGCAAATCGTCTGGCTTCTGGTAAATCGCTGTGTCACCAAACGCTGAGGGAGACATCCTTATCGCACAACAAATCCAAAAGAAATAACATTTTGAGATGACTTTGTCAAGGAAAGGTGGATAAGTGGGTGGCACCTGCAATTCTAACGCCATCACTCATTCTGCCGAGTATAACAACAACATAGATGAGACAGAAAACAACAACACTTAATTGACCAATTATAAAAAAATACCTATATATTATACACCTATTTATTTATTTTGTTTTTATTTATTTATTCATAAACTAATTTTAATATTAAACTATTTAAACGCATACACACACACTTACTCACCCCTCACTCACACTTAATGCTAAATACCAAAATCAAATTGTTTTTAATATTTTAAATTAAAATATGAGTTGATGAATTTGTTTGTTCATTTGTGTTTTTTTTTTTGCAACAATATAATTAAACAAAACTAGTTATACAACAAATATGTATGTAATTTAGTAAACTAACACAGCATATTCATACACATTACCATTAGGATAGGCAAGTTGCATACAAACAAAAACAATTATTTATATATGTTTTACATATGACATTTATTTACAATAATTGTAACCAATGTGGATAGGGTTAGGTCCCCCAAAACAATTTTCTAATAAAATTAAATTTAATAATTATTTTTTATTTTTATTTTTAATATCACCCAAGTGAATTCAGTCTTTTTGTCATTCTGTTAGAACTCATTGTTATTTTGTTCGTTTCCATTATTACAATTGTTAATAATTATTACAAAACAAATCCATTTTCAAGTGCTTTAAATAATTTCAATTCAGTTTCCACAAATCAAAAATATAGCGTCAAATATAGTTAATGTGTTGTAGAGAACAATTCAGAATAGAACAGAAATAGCGTAGCGTAACAACTTGCGATGATGTAATGACAGAGTATAATTCAATTTCCCCTTGATCCCTCTTCACCGGAAATCAAAGAAGGACACTTCTCTTCTCTCAATAAAGTATAAGTATCAAAAAGACCGCAACCCAATAAATCGTAAATCATAAATCGTCTTTAGTGTAATAAACCAAAATAAAAAATATATAAATATATATTTACTGCTTTTTCATAATATTTTTTACATATAACAAGAAGAAAAACGAAACAAAACCAACAATAATAACATTTATTCTCGTGCATATTATCCAAGAAATATGTGAGTATGTATTTACATTCAAATAATAAAAAAATATTAAAACAAAAAAAAAAGATAATTGTTTTATTTTTTATAAAATACACATTTTATAGTTTAAAGAGGGGCCGTGAAATGTTAGTTATAAATGGTTTGAAGTTGGTTCAAAGTCAGTTAAGACAGCGACTGTTCACTTGAAGCACCTAATTGTGGCAAAATCCGCCATAACAGCCGATGGTCGCTCTCCGCTCGTATTAATCGACCGTGGCATCAGAATAAATGCCGATTATTATCGCGAAAATATTTTGGAGGGTGTATTAAAGCCTTGGGTACGCAAACATTTTGGCCGCAGACCTTGGACATTCCAACAAAAATCTCAAAAATCAACAAAATCTCCGTATACCAATCCGTTGGACTATTGTGTCTGGAGTATTTTGGAAAGCAAGGTTGGCACTAAAAAACACCAAAGTGTCGATCATCTCAAGCAAGCGCTTCTCCAGGAATGGGCCAAAATACTGCAGAGCAATATTCGGGCAACGTGTGACGGTTTCAATGGCCGTTTTAAGACCATAATTCGTGCCAAAGGTGACCAATTCGAACAAATTTAAACTTATTTTAAAATTTGATGCTATTTCCGACTTTTTTTGCTTTAATTCAATAAAATTTAAAAAAATAAAAAAATTATCGCGTTTGACTTTGTTGCAGTTTTTTTATCTCACCCTGTACATGATGAATCGGTAATACGTTAGATCAATGTTTGGGTTTGGATCGGCTACTAAATGCACGGATGTAGGGGTATCGATGTCCAGGTTATATAAGATGATACCGGAAATTCTTAACTCCAGTAGAACAACGAGCCAAAACTCCTGAGTAAACCAATTTCTTAAAAATGGCGTTTCCTGCCAACAATATTGTCAGTCGAAGAACAGCAAGCTATTTAAAATCACTGACTATACTTTAAAAAAGCCCTCTGCATCGCACAACGAATTTATCACTTTATGCGACAGGCTACTTGGTGGTGTTGATACACTGCTAACGTATACTTGGTTGGTTGCAAGATCAAATCGCTACAAGGCAGGTTGATTAAATTTGAAAATTATAACTCTGAAGCTAGTGTCTTGTCAAGTTGACAGAACAGTGTTGGCATGCTTGTTCGGAATACCGTAGAATTTTGTTGTTGCAAAATAGTTAAGCTTAAACCCAGTATTGTTGTTTTTATAAAAACAACGTTTGTTTATTCCTGGAGAACGATGGTAATGTTTACCAGGGGGCAAGGCAGGGAGTATTAGTAGGTATTAGTAAGTCGTACGACCATTTTTTTTAGAAAATTTTAAGACCTACAACTTTTGCTCAAGCATCATTTTTATACAACTTATCATTTGCGGGAAACTTCGGATCAACTAAAAATGGTAATCTGTGATTGCAAATACTAAATTATTAAAATAAATGAAGACGAAAAAGTTTTTGATTTTCAATCTGCCTTTTACATGTTTGACTTTAACGACCATTTAAAGGTCCGGTTGATGATTATTGTTGCTGTAATGGCTCTTTTTACTTTTTCTGACAGCAAGGTTCCTTTTCGATACGGTTCCTTGAAAAAAGTTGGATATCATCTCATGGTAGCGCCCACCATTGAAAGTTTCATTACGATTTCAAGCATCTTTGCATAAGTACTGTTCAAATATGTCACCAGTCCAATAAACCGCAACAAACTGTGGATTTTTTGAATACTTTAGCACATAGTTTGTACTGTTCGAAAATCTTTTAATTTATAACTTGTCATTGTAAAACGGTTGTCGTACTTCTGAGACTTGCAAAACTTCCAAACAAATCTCATTACATGTTTACTAGAGTAAAAAGTAGGATTAATTTTTAATTTGAACAATTGACATCAAGTTTTCACATTTAACTAGTTTTTAGTCAATAATAAATATGTTAATACATGAAAATTTGATTTCAATTATCCCCTTATATGGAATGTAGTCGTGTGCGTTCATTCTGATTGTATAAATGTCAGGTAATACACAAATTAAAATAATAATAAAAAACAAAACAACTCAATAACCACAATGTAATCAAATCTGTCAAGTGTTATTCACTGAATATCTGACAAAACGTCACACATTGTTGTTGTTCTCTTTTAATGAAATATGAATAAATTGTTGTAGCTTCCTTATAGTATATGAATAAAATGTGTGGTTTAACGATTCTGTCACTGCATCGATAGATAAATCTGGTAACCAGTTACAGGATTCTATTAATTTTTTTGGGTTACCGCCAAAAATCTTAAAATTAATATTCTCATTTTTTCGGTAATTAACTAAAATTTTCGGCAAGTTACCAATCAAACTAAAGTAGCCACTAAGTCCTATCGATAGCAGCCGTTTTGCCAAGTTATATTTAGACTTTTCATTACTAATTTTTTTGCCTATATTTGTCGGTCACTCAAAAAATGAGTTAGACAATATCACAACAGGATTTCATTATCTAACCATTCCTGTATTACACCAATTCAGCTAAACTTGTGCCTGAAAGTGTCGAACCAACGGAATTCAGGTTATCTAATATAAGTAGTGGTTAATTGGTAAACAAAGTTCAATAACAAAAAACTAGTTTGTTAGTTTCTGTTCCAGAATGTTCCAGGTCTGCAAGAATGTAAAAGTTTCTACAACAATAATCCATTTTCCTTTTATGATCTCGAAAAAAAATTCTAAACTAGTAGATTCTTGCAGATCCCTGAACAGGTGTTTTATTTTTTACAGGGTGTTTTTTCAAGCCCAATAGAACTTGAAATTGTAAAAAATAACACAAAAAATTAAATTGTAATCAAAAATTTTTTATTCGAAAAATCAATACGTGACATTAACATTTGAAAATGATTTCGGGCATATGGGCACCGCGGCTGTTCTTGACGAAGTGCATTCTGGACGTCCAATTTTTTGCCACTTTTTCGAGCACTGCTGGCCGTATGTCACGAATAACAAGAACAATGCTGGCCTCCAAGGCGTCAATTGTTGCTGGTTTATCAGCATAAACCAGTGACTTTACGTAGCCCCACAGGAAATAATCGAGAGGTGTCAAATCGCACGACCTTGGAGGCCAATTGACAGGACCACTTCTCGAAATCATCGAAATTATCGCCAAATTTTGATTTCAATAAATCGATGGTTGCGTTCGCCGTATGGCACATAGCGCCATCCCGTTGAAACCACATCTCCCCCGGATCAATGTCATCCATATTTTTAAACAAAAAATCATTGATCATGGTGCGGTAACGATCCCCATTGACCTTAACGCGAGCTCCGGCCTCATTTTTGAAAAAATAAGGATAAGATAAGGATAATGATGCCACCAGCGTGAAAAACGCACCGTATGCATTTTTCTAGATTTAATGGAGTCTGTAGGGTCTCTTGTGGATTGGTCTCACTCCATATGCGGCAATTTTGCTTATTTACAAACCCGTTAAGTCAAAAATGCGCCTCATCACTGAACACAATTTTGCGATAAAACAACGGGTCATTTGCCAACTGCTCTAGAACCCAATCGGCGAAAGAACGACGCATATAATGGTCTCTCACGATGATTTGTCAGAGTATACTGAAGCAAATAAAAAAAAGTTTCATCAAAATTTAATTTTTTGTGTTACTTTTTACAATTTAAAGTTCTATCTAGCTTAAAAAACACTCTTTATTTCAGGTTGAACAACTATACCGTAAAATCTAAAAATACGATCATAAGAAAATATAAAAACAAATTTATCGCACAAAATTCTACAAGTGCGTTTAACATTTTAAAGCTGGAAAACTATTGTTTAAACCATTTTGGAAATATCTACATTCTCGTTAATGGCGCCCAATCGATGATTACTAATCTCCTCCATATGTGACTCGCCTGTTGTTAACTAGTGTAATTTCCTCCAAGTTCTAAGCGTCTGGCAACTCGACTTCGTCAAATGAGAAAAGTCTGATACCATTGACCAGCTAGCTGTTGGTTAGGGCATTAATCTAAACTCTTATCGATTTGGCTGTCATCTCTCCGTTTCTTTTCTCACCCATGTGTGAGATTTACAACGATGATGAGCGGCGTTTGGCCGGCAATACGCCCAGTGGCCGATGAATGAATTTTATTTGCTGAGACTGTTTAAAGTAGATTTGTGTATTTCTTCGTGAGCGAGTGTGTTCTGTATTTAGTTTTTTTTTTCTCTCAAAAAACACTAAATAGAGATTTAATGTTTTTTGTTAGTTTTGCTGTTGTTGTTGTTGTCGGCGATATTTTTCAATATTTTCGTTTCAATTTTATTTCTAGCTTTTCTATTCTAACATTCGTGGTGTTCAGATCGGTTCGGATCGATTAGTTGACGCGACGTTGGTAAAGAAAAACAATTTTGTGAACGGCAGTGTTCTGTGTGATTGTTTTATAACAAAATAAAAAAAAAAAATAATACGATTTTTCTGGAAGCTCAAAAGTAATAAAAATAAAATAAAATTGTAATAAAATTGTTTAATAAAAAAATCGGAAAATTAATAGTGCTCTTTTCCAGTGTGCTTATATAAATTGAAAAAAGGTGATTTCAAAATTTTAGATTTGATGATTTTATTACTTGTAAATATGTACATACATATGTAGCAAATATATATGTAAAAAGTACAATAGTGTTGAAAGTGCAAATAAAAAGTGAAAATAAGTACATTGTTTGATTTAATTTGTATTGAAAGTAAATAAATACAAGTTTTTCTACGTTGCTGATATAAACTTTTATTGCCTTGCAAGTTTCTATAAAAATGATCTAAAATAGCCTTTTATTGAAGCTAAATTATATATATTTTTAAGTTTTAGAATAGTTTCTGGCCACTGAATACCCAGAATACCAAATGTCAGTTAATTGAAATTGTAACTGAATTGTTACTACCAAATAGTGGACATTCATTCGGTAGAATGAAGTGATTACAAAAGACTTGGACATTTACGCCGATAACAAATGTATACGTAGTAACAATTGGGGGCATAATATAGTGATGTCTGAATGATATCTAACCTATTGTTTACCTGATAGATATGCTTCCAAAGTATGGCGCTTGTTGTGTGTGTTAATTGATTGACTGCTAATCTCCACCATGATGAAACGACTGCGATAGAGTCACCTGGGTTTTAGAATGAACTCTTTTTATACCCTACACCACAAGGTGGTCAGGGTATTATGTATATGTGCATTTGTTTGTAACAGGCAAAAGGAAACGAGATAGACCCATAGTTCCTTTTGATGATCTGCATAGAATCACATTCTGAGTCGATTTATGCATGTCCGTCCGTCCGTCTGTCCGTCCGTCCGTCCGTCCGTCTGTCCGTCTGTCCATGTATTTTTGTAAACAAAGTACAGATCGCATTTATTGTCCTATCCAGATGAAATTTTGCACAAATCATTTGTTTGGCCCAAGGACGAACCCTATTGAAATTGGAAATAATCGGTCAAAATTTAGATATAGCTCCCATATATATCTTCGTCCGATTTGCCTTTTATTGTGCACCAAACGTGCAATATCAGTCCGAATAGTATGGAATTTTGCACGTACGATCAGATTGGACCTGAAAATAAGTATGCCAAATTTGATCGAAATCGGTTCAGATATAACTATAGCTCCCATATATATTGTTCATCCGATTTGTTATTGTTGTCCTCCGCAGCCGTAATATGCACTCTGTAACAATAATATTAGGGGAAATATATCAAATACAGCTCAGAAATACATTTGCTAAATTTTATAGAGATCGGTTAAGATTTGGATATAGCTCCAATATATAACTTCGTCCGATTTACCTTCTATTGTGCACCAAAAGTCTAATATTTGTCCAAATGGGATGAAATTTGGCACTTACGACCGAATTGAGTCTAGAAGCTAGTATGCCAAATTTGATCGAAATCGGTTCAGATTTGGATATAGCTCCCATATATATCTTCATCCGATTTCGGGTTAATTGTGCACCAAATGGCCGATATAAGTCCAAATGGACTGAATTTTAGTACATCGGACCAAATTCAGCCTAGAAGCAAGTATATCAAATTTAGTGAAAATCGGTTCAGATATAGATATACCAACCAATTTAGTGTTTTAGTCCCTTACATTCGTAATATTCACTCCACAACCGTGATATTTGGTACCAGGTATTAGATGGAGCACAGGAATAGCTTTTAAATTTTATCGAAATCGGTTCAGATTTGGATATAGCTCCCATATATATCTTCATCCGATTTCGGGTGATTGACCACCAAATGGCCGTAATAGCATCAATTTTGGCAAATCCGACCGAAACCAGCTTAGAAGCAAGTACACCAATTTTAGTAAAAATCGGTTCAGATATAGCTATAGCTCCCATATATATCTTTCATCCGGTTTGGTCTTTAAGTCCCTCACATTCGTAATATGCACTCCACAGGAATGATATTTGGTACCAGATATCAGATAAAGCCCAAAAATAGTTGATTTTAATTTTATTAGAATCTGTTCCGATTTGGATATGCCTCCCATATATATCTTCATCCGATTTCGTGTTAATTGTGCATCAAATGGCCAATATCAGCCCAAATCACCTGAATATTCGTACATTAGACCGAATTCAGTCTAGAAGCTAATACGTCAAATTTGGAGAAACCCGGTTCAGAGATAGCTATAGTTCGTAAAATGCACGATAGAATTAGATAGATTTTGATTTTGTACCAAATATCTCATAGAGCTCTGAAATGCCCTGTATAAACCTTTTTACGAGAGCTCTACTAAATATGCATAGTGGTGTAGGGTATCATATAGTCGGCCCCGCCCGACTTTTGAGCTTTCCTTACTGGTTTAACTTTGTAATAACCATAAATTACACGTACTAAATATTGAATAATTTTGTTAGCGTTTTGAAATTTGCTATTTCATTTGGATAGTAAAATCTAAAATATTTGTTTAAAGAATTTAAAATGATCTGAATATAGCCAGAATAATGCGTTAATAGACACATTGATATAGGGAAAGTGTACCAGATGTCGGCACTTGAAAAGTGGAAAAGGAGGTTCAGAACAAAATTGGTTACTTACGAAAAAAAGCTTGCGAAATTAAAAAAGGTTGAAACTGAACGACTTTATTTATTTTTCAACATTTCAACGAACAAATAAAAAAGCTGTAAGTTCGGTCGGGCCCAACTTTTCTTCACCATTTGGTACATACTTAACAATTTTCAAAAAAAAAAATCCGTTAAAAATTCTGTTAAAATCTTAAAAATACCGAATGTAGCCGTATATTAGGGTCTATACGACGATGTGGATCTGCATAGGCAACTTTTGTCACATACTATTACAATATTCAAATGCGAAACTTGAAAAAAAATCTGTTGTAGCTAAAATCATCAAAATACCGAATATAGGGAGGTACCATAGGGGTTACAAAACGTGGACCTGCACAGACAATTTTCTGTCATAGGCTGTAGTATTCATTACGAACTTCAAATACTAAATTTGAAATAGTTCCGGTAAATAACGTCGCAAAAATCATCAAAATACCCAATATCGGGAGGTACCGTTATATGGGGGATACACGAAGACGTGAACCTACATGGCTCATTTTCTGTCTTAGGATGTATTATCCATTACGAACTTCAAATAGCAAAATTGAAACAATTCCGGTAAATAATGTCGCTAAAATCATAAAAATACCGAATATCGGGGGTACCGTTATATAAGAGGGCTATACGAAGACGTGGATCTGCACAGACAATCTCTTGTCATATGCTGTAGTGTCAATTACGAACTTCAAATACCCAATTTGAAACAATTCCCGTGAATAATGTCGCTAAAATGCACAAAGTACCGAATATCGGGAGGAACCGTTATATGGGGGCTATACGAAGACGTGGATCTACATGCCCATTTTTAATACCAACAGTCCTGCAGACATAATACACATTTGAGTAAAATTTTATCAACCTACTTCATTTCGTTCGGAAGCTAGAGTGATTTCCACAGACGGACAGACGGATAGACGAACACTGATAAATCGACATAGAATTTTATGCTGATCAAGAATATATATACTTTGTGGGGTCTAAAATGTATATTTCGAGGTGTTACAAACGGAATGACAAACTTAATATACCCTCCATATTATGGTGGAGGGTATAAAAACAAGTAAGCAAAGGCTGCAGTAATATTCTACAACACTACAATATATGAAAAAGCTCCTTAGGTCCAAACATGGTACAATGAAGGTAGGTCAACTTTGAAAAAATTGCAAGTATAGAGGTCTACCTGTTTGGATTGTAATGTCAGAATTAGTATCAAAACAATAAAAAATCAAACAACTTGTTGCATTTATTTTGAATAAATAATTGAAAACCGCGATAACTGAATGAAAGGTCAACACTTCTTTTCAAAATCATGTACTATATATCTCTGAAGGATTATTTCGCTATGAAAACTCTAGATTTTGTCGATTTTTTCCGAACAATTTTTTTGTTATTGAAAAGAAAACACATACATAAACAAATAAAGATGACATATTAGGCCATGAAAATAAAAAATTAAAATCATATGGTATCATAGCCCTACCTTGATATCATTGTATCATGGGTCCAAACACATTTTAGTCGAATTTTTCAAATAATGCCATACGGCCCTGCACAAATATTACCTCTGATTTTTCACCGAGGCATTTGCCTTATATTTTACCCTCTCTGTCGTGCGGATTGGTATTCAGAACAATTTCACATAAAAAAAAAAACAATTTCCAAAATGCTAGACTTCTGCCCTGTTCTTAACACTCTCTTCATGCAAAATTCTGTGTTGATTAGTTTTCAATTGTGACCCGTAGGGATTAAAAATATTAGAGATTTTCTGGAAATTTTCGTATTTTTTACATAAAAGTTGTAGTCTATTTTACTCGCTAAATATTTTCCGATGACCAAACAAAAAGTTAGGCCTAAACTTTAGTCTCATGTTAAATTCCGCGTCGCAAATCAAATTAAATGCCCAATTACACATTATGTTAGAGTCATATGTAAAGTGAATTTTATATTTTTGTAAAACACTTTACAAAAAAAAAAAAAAATAAATAAATAAATAACCAGTAAGGAAAGCTCAAAAGTCGGGCGGGGCCGACTATATGATACCCTACACCACTATGCATATTTAGTAGAGCTCTCGTAAAAAGGTTTATACAGGGCATTTCAGAGCTCTATGAGATATTTGGTACAAAATCAAAATCTATCTAATTCTATCGTGCATTTTACGAACTATAGCTATCTCTGAACCGGGTTTCTCCAAATTTGACGTATTAGCTTCTAGACTGAATTCGGTCTAATGTACGAATATTCAGGTGATTTGGGCTGATATTGGCCATTTGATGCACAATTAACACGAAATCGGATGAAGATATATATGGGAGGCATATCCAAATCGGAACAGATTCTAATAAAATTAAAATCAACTATTTTTGGGCTTTATCTGATATCTGGTACCAAATATCATTCCTGTGGAGTGCATATTACGAATGTGAGGGACTTAAAGACCAAACCGGATGAAAGATATATATG